TTTCAGTCTAGTTGAAATTCTCAACATTTAAATATTTTCTTTTACTTCTTTCATTCATTGCAGAAACCAACCATGCGAATGTGACGAAAGCGCCGCTCTTCCCAAAAGATCTCTTCACCAGAGAGCAGCTGGAAAATGGTGCTGTTATATGTCACATAATTGGCGTTATTTACATGTTCGTAGCGCTCGCCATTGTGTGCGATGAATTCTTCGTGCCTTCCCTGGACGTGATCATCGAGAAATTGGACATCACGGACGATGTAGCCGGTGCTACGTTTATGGCGGCCGGCGGTAGTGCGCCCGAACTCTTTACCAGTGTCATTGGCGTATTCATCTCGTTCGATGATGTTGGCATTGGTACAATTGTCGGCTCCGCTGTCTTCAACATACTCTTCGTCATCGGTATGTGTGCGCTATTCTCGAAAACCATATTGGCGCTAACATGGTGGCCCCTGTTTCGGGATTGCACTTTCTACAGTCTCAGTTTGATGGTGCTCATTTACTTTTTTCGCGATAATTTCATCTATTGGTGGGAGGCGCTCATACTATTTAGCATCTATATAGCGTATGTGACCTTCATGAAGTGGAACGTCCAAGTGGAGAGATTCGTGAAGAGGCTCGTAACGAAAAATAAGGTGACTCGCGTCAGAAGTACAGATCAGCTTATGCCAGCAGTAAGTAGTTGGGAAGTTTTTTTGCAAAAAGAATTTAAATGAAAAATTTAAATTCAAAATTTGAAAATTAAAAAATTAGCAAGAAAATTTTGAGCAAAAATTTTTAAAACTAATTTAATGCGATTAACCAATTTTTGANACAAGTTTGAGCAAAAATTTTTAAAACTAATTTAATGCGATTAACCAATTTTTGAGAAGACAACAACAAAAGCAACACACAGTAACTTCGCATACTTATCTACTAACACAGCATTTTGCCTAAACGCGTGCTAAATGTTAAACTGAAGTACTAAAAATTTAGCAATGAATCGAACGAAACAGTACTTAAATAAATTTTAAATGTTTAATATTTGTATTTAGTATTGAAATATTTTCAGTTGTCTTTATAATTATGGTATACATATATGTTTATATTTCTTATTTTTTATTTATTTTTGACTGATATTCAAAGGTGATTATTAAGCACAACTGCGCATGCGATTTAGATTTTATGTTTTTTGATAAGTTTTGGTTTAAATTTTGTAGATTTTTATTTAGTATTTTTAACCGTTTTTAACAAAAAAAATATTTTCGCTATTTTAGTTTATTTGATTAAATATTTGCTAGAGAAAATAGTATATAAATATATATTTTTTTATTAAAACTTGATTTCGCAACTAAAAAAGTAATTATAATTTATTTTATTTTTTGTAGTACAAAATACACTTCAAAGCATATAAAATATTCAAACGTCGCATGTTGTAAATTATAATAGACTAACGGCACAGCAAATTTATTAATCATAGTTTGAAGCGTTCATAAAAAAATCAATGAAAATGTTTATCGTACAGTGTAACCTTGATAACACGAAGATTTATAAAACGAAAAACTAATTATAACAAAATTTTTCTTAAGTCCACCGAAAAAAACTCGTATTTGGGAAAAGTAAGCGGAATTTTTTCAAAATTCTCTTTTTGATGCAGAAATGTTCCTAAAGCATCTAGAGGCATTTTTGCATTAAAAATAAATAAAAAAAAATGTCGCTTAAATATTTTTGGCTGTTAGGGCTGATATTAAACGAAGAAATTTTCAGCATGAAAACCTTCGGAATACATTTATGGGTAAAACCCTTTTAGCCACTAAATGTCGTTACATCGAAGTTTCACTGTACTAAAGAAATCTCTTTAGCCATTCTTAAAATTTCGCCTTAAACTTCACTCACAAATAAAATTATATTTTTAAACTGGCACTGAAATTTTTGTAATTTAACGCACCATAGCGAAATTAAGTAGTATCTAGTTTAAAAAATAGGTGTTACAGAACAATCAAAAAAAAAATGGTTTCCCAACAAATTTTTAATTTTATATTTTTTGTGCTATTTTTCACGATCTTTGACCTCAGAATATTCTCATTTTCATACACATTGAAACAATGTTAAACATTAACATTAATTAAACATTGTCTCAAAAAAAAAAAAAACAAAAAAATATTTTCTTCGGAATATTTCACAAGTTCAATACAATGTCTATCACATTTTGTGTGCAAATTGCGATCTTTTAATTCAAAATATTCTTATTTTCATACACATTTAAATAATTTTTTGAACAAAAAATTTTATTAAACATTGGTGCAATACAAAAAAAATGTCTTCGAATTTTTACACAAGATGAATATGTACATCCTTACAGGTTCGCCAACCAATTTTAGTCACATTTTTTGTGCAAATTTGCATCTCTGAATTCGAAATATTATAATTTTCATACACATTTAATCAATATTTTAAGAACAATTTAATTATATATGAGTACACAAAAAAACATAAACATGTTTTCTTCTGAGTGTTCCACAAGTTTACAACATCCTTACAGGCTTAGCAACAAATTTTAATAATTTTTTTTTGCAAACTGCAATCTTGGAATTCAAAATATTTTTCATATAAATTTTAATCAATATTTTGAGAAAAATTTTTTAAAATATGGATACATACAAAACTAAAAATGTTTTCTTCGAAGTGTTTGCCAACCAATTTTAGTCAGATTTTTTTACATATACATTTAAATATTTTGGAAGAAATTTTATTAAATATTGGTGCAAAAAAACCAACCAACCAAGTTCAATACAATTTCTATCACATTTCTTGTGCAAATTGCTATCTTTAAATTCCAAATATTCTTATTTTCATACACATTTAAATAATTTTGCATCTCTGAATTCAAAATATTATTATCTTCATACACAGTTAATCAATATTTTGAGAAAAATTTAATTATATTCATATGATATGAGTACAAAAAAAAACCTACAAATTTTTTCTTCTGAATGTTCCACAAAATCACTACATCCTTACAGGTTCGCCAAACAATTAATTTTTTTGTGCAAATTGCGGCCCATGTAAATATTAAAACAATCTTTTCGCTGAAATTTTCTACAAATCAACCGTTGAAGTTAAAAATTTTAAAATTTATTCCAGAAGAATTTAAAACAAATTGTTATCTTGTTAATAACGATTTCCAAATAATTTCTAGGTACATCAATTAGTCAATTCTAGCATTTCCTCCGCAAATTACTTAAACGAAGTGATGACTAGCGTAAATTTACAAAATCGTCAATTTTTATCAAATATTTACTTAGTAGAATTTTTAAGTTTGTAGAGGGTGAAGGTATGAAAAGCCCACCCGTTCTTGAAGCCATATAATTGCTGTCAAAAATG